AAAGCCGGGACGGAGCACGCCGGGTTCTCACCGGACCAGGCTCTCACATCACGAAGCGCGAAGCGCCGTGAGATATTTGGCGAGTCGCATGAAGGGTGCGCTGCATCCTGCTAAGGGTGTTCAGCATCTTGGTTTGTTTTACAACGTCGTTGCCAAGCGACGAAAACCCAACCCCGATGGCAAACACCGGGGGGGAGGTGGGATCGCACAATCACGGCAGTAATGCACCTCGTGCAATATTTGGTGACGTGTTTCCATCATCATATTTGACCCATGCGACAGGTTCAAGGACGAACTCCTATTTTACGAGTTTCGAACCAAGGGAGCTAACTGGCCAAAGGCGACAGAGATGAATGTCGACGCCGCGAAGGCGTTAGCGATTCGGATAAATATGGAGATAGAGGCGAGTGTAGCCATGACGGCATCCGTCATAGATGTGCACCACGCCACCGACGTATGCGAATGCCGTGTCGATCTGCTTCTCGAGCTGTCCTTGCGCCAAAACCTCTGTACACGGCGCGCCTGAACACTAACAACCCGAGAGCTTGGAAGGAGATAGGACACATGCGTCTTGACTACCAGTAACTAGACGTTGGCTTACCTTGAGGATAGTATGGTCTGATTTGGCGAGGAATGTGGAATAAGATTAGACGTAAACATACCCGGGGGGTCTCGTGGATTCCAGAGGGTGTTTACATCGATCTTTGAACATTTCGTCATAGCCCTTATGGTGGAGCTCATACTTGCATCGGCAACGGGAGACCTTGCATTAGTGTAGGTGACATGAGACAAATTAACATGCACGGGAAGCCTATCTGGACCAGTCTCTAGACCATGATAACGTTGACGTGGGTGGTGGCTTTGATTCGTCAATGCAAAGTCGCGGGTAGTGTGTTCTTTGGACCGCTCTCTCGCAATCTTCAAACAATAAGGCTGAGCGTCTCCAACGCCCACCAATCGTGGTGCCTCTCCGCACGCATGTGAACCCCGCATGGCCCTTTTGACCGCCGCTTTCAGATGAAAGAGGTACACGAACACGATGGAGAGGTCCACAAGGCTTGCTTCTCTGGCGACATGCTAACCGAGTGGATGATCAATGTAAGGATAACGAACGTGTGGCGATCTACGGTCGACCGCCATTGAACGGCAAGATGCGTGTCGAAATGGTCGAAATGCAATATCTCCATGTCTCTCTTGGGATGCCTCAACAAAAAATGATTGAATGAACTGCAAACGCCGCGTTCCCACTAGCCGCTCAAGTGGCTTGGATTCTGATTTTCGTTCTTGGGATAATCTGGAATTTCTGGAAGCATTTATTTTTTTTTTGGCCAGGGCGTCAGGATGGAGGCGCACGCTCTGTTGTCCCACTCTCCCCTCCGCTGACTCTCAATAGTTGTTTCTTCCTTCCTGTGGCACTGCAATGATCACTTCAGTGCTTGGCTACCGTATCCTCTCCTCTGTCGGCGGTTGTTGGCAATTGCTATGATGGTATTGGTGCCGTTGGTAGAACTAGTGTCGATGTCGTTCTTGTGCTTTCATACGTTTGTGGTACTTGCGTTTAGGTGGGTTTGTGTGTTGCTGTCGCTGTTGCTGTTGTTGCTGCTTTGTTGCTGTCGTCGTCGTTGTGTCAATATTGTTGAAGATGAGGAAAATATTGTCACGGTTTCTTGCTGATGTCAATGTCAGTTGGATGTGGCGATGATGTTGTATTTTGTATGCGCAAAGCGTTCTTATCTGTATGAGATGTTTCCGTCATCATAAGCTGACACTAGAAATACACAAGGGAGGAACCAAAGAACCAAAAAAACAAATCGCCTGTCCCAAGAAATCTGACGGTGTTTCGTTTTTTTCGGACCCTCTGTTGGCGCCTGAGTAGCCATTACTGTTGTCTTATATGTATTGGTGTGGTGTGCTTGTATGTGGTGGCCAGGAATACGTGGCAACATGCGTCAACGAGGCAGTGGCGATAGCCGACAAGCTCATGACGCTTTCCGTCATTGAGTCCACGTCCAGCACGAACACAGAGAGGTTCAAGCCTTCCTGCGACAGCTTCTACGTCCTCAAGGTACAATACGAGCCACCCTTGCCGGTGTTGCTTAGGTACAAGGTAGGGTTGTTCTGTGTTCGTTAGCCAGAAGGTTGGTGACTGAGACGGCGATTTTCGGTATGATTTTATACAAACGGTCTCAACTAACCATTTTTTGCACCGATGTCGTCTGTCGTGCTTGTGCTACAGGCCTTAGCCTTATCGGCTCTCCCACCGACACACATTTTCGGGCTACTGAAGCAACTTTGTCTCGCCATCCTACAGGTCGCCTGCGCGTGCGCGGCCGAAAATAAAAAGGTGGATGAGTGGGTAGGATAGTGAGACTTTGCAACTGAACAAATTCCGAAGACAACCGATTTCAAATGTGAAGACACCCTTCATTTCTGAGTTCCGCTAACTGGCGACTCCTGGAAGTAGTTTTACGCCTCCACTCCTGTTTCCGGGCACTTTCCATTTTGCCCAGAATGCTTCGTAGGTGGTGTAAAATCCCGAATGGGTAGGAACCCGCCACTGTGAACACATCGTTGCATGTCCTGTGTTGCGTGTTTTGGCGCAGTTGGTCGTAATAGTGGTCGAAGACCTCCAATGGGTGGATTCCGGCACGTTGGACATGATCCTGGCCTTTCTACAAGAGGCCGAGCAGGAGGGGCCTTGGGACGGGGGGTGCATGTTTCTCCTCTCCACGCGACCTGCCTCCACCTTCCCTGCGCACCTGAGCAGCACCCGCGACAAGATTGTCGCCGAAAGGTTTGTCCGGTACCGAACCAACTCTGCCGACGACGATATCCGGTGTCCCGTTGTGGCCGTGCATCTTGTTCTTTTTGTTGTTTCAACATCGAGCGTCGACCATCAGCACCTACAAGGAATAGCAGACTATGCACTTGAATTCTCCAGTCGCTTCCATCTGCTAGGCATCGCTTGCACGGGTGCTTGCTGAGTCCCGAACCTGAAGGCCCTGTCCCCAGGACCCTTTTCAAGAACTGTTCTACTTTTGTTCGCAACATCTGGGATAGTGGCATGGAGGCGGGTGAAGCTAAGCAATGCGAACCTTCATTTTTTTTCTCTCATGTATCCATAGAGATCTCCGACTCGAGATAGGGGTGGGGGCGATTGAACGGCGAGACCGGGGGGGTGCACGTGCTCGCCTCAAGACAAAGACATGGTCGTTCCTTCATCTGCAACGCATCGGGGTAACAACAACCAACTGTCGATCCCACAAGCACGTCCAGGACATGACTGCCGTAAGAGGCAGCGGAATGCCCCCCCCCCCAGACTTACTTGCAAAGCTCGATTGCTCCATGACCAAGGGGGTGCGGAAAGAACACGATACGTCGACGACAAGCCCTCGATGAGATGTTCCGACCACCACCCTTGTTGGCGCTTGCACAAGCTTGGTTGCGGAGTAGTAGCGCTTTGAAAATCGGTCTGGGGGGGGGGTGCCATCTCTTCGCCTACTACGGCAGTCAGGTTAAAGAGCATGCATGCGTGCACTATCGACGGCGAATGGCTGCACTCGTGTCGCCATGGACCCTCATTTCCTAGGGTAGTCTGGGACACAGCACGCCGCAGGTGCAGTTGTAGAACCACCATTCGTCTCTCTGGAGTGATGCGTATCTGGCAACACCCGCCTCACGCATTCCCACAGAACGTTCTGTGGGTCGTACACCTTGCTGTACGGTGATGCTGATGCAGCAGCGGTCTGATCCTTGCAGAAATGCTGCTGCTGATTATGGTGGGGACCTGATGTCGGTGTGATACTAACGCGGATGCGATGTGCGTTGCTGCTGCCAGAATTGTGACGGTGATTGAGCTCGGTGCCCTATCGGAGGACGAGGCGGAAGGGGTGACGTGTCGGCTGCTCGAGGTACCGATGTCGCTGCCGGTATCGTTGCCGTTGGCGTCACCTTCACTTTCGACTACGAGCATGGAGATAGAAGTATGAGGTCATGATCCCGCTGCATTTCATATCGCGTGATATGGATCCGGAGCGTGGGAATTGACTGTCTAGATACCTCGACGGCAGGCCGCAGGACGCAGAGTGGTCAACAAACCAAAAAAGTGAACCTATAATGTAGACAAGGGGTCTTCCCAGGCGGGTCATGAGGGACAGTGGCAGAGCAACGCTGAAACGCTTCCCCATGCCTCGCCCTTTGTCTTGTGCATTGAACCAACAATGAAAAAAGGTGGACGAGCTTGATTTTGCGCTTCGCAAGCTTGTGTTAACCTCGTGTTCCGGTAGTCCGCTCTTCATCACCGAGCTGTGCCAGTCTCTTTGCAGCACCCGGGGGGTACAGAAAGTTTCTACATCGTCCGGCAAGGTATGTGCGCTTGGGTTTGTCGTGATGCTTATCCGTGGCGTGCCACGTGTGGTTGTACCGTTGCCTGATGGATCGAACCGCCATCTTTCTGGTACACCCCCCATGGAAAAGACATGATGTTCTCTCCGTAAAAACTACCCACAGTCTCCCAAAACACAGGAAATACATGTATGCCAGCTCGTTGGGAAACCTTCGTGATTGTTGGTGAAGTACGTTCGCCCAAGTAGCATGGCATTCTTGTCAGGTGAGGCAGTCTCTTCGTTAGGGGGCAGTGGTGAACAATGCTATCTAACCCTTTGGTTTTTCACATGTTCTTCTTCGCACCCTGTTGCCCCGCCCCGCAAAACTTTATAGTCGCGAGCTGCTCTGAAAACGACGGGCAAGGACGGCGGTCTATCAACCGGACCCAGGAGCGTGGCGGAGATGGTGGCCGCCCGCATCGACACCCTGGAGTCTACGGCATCCCTCGTGCTAAAGGTGCAGTGCAGCGAGCATCTTTCTCCGTCGTTCTTGCTGTGAATAGTTTTTGTGTTACCTGAGATTAAAGCTTCGCTACAAGAATACCGTTGCAGTTAGTACGCATTTTATCGCCTGTGGACGTTTCCCGATTGTCGGCTGTAACATCACGGGGTTGGTTTGGCTCGTCATGACACGGTTTCGGTGTCGCGATATCCAATGGTTCTTCAGCAAAGAACTTGAGAGCACACAGAACTGGAGGAGACTAGAGTTGGTTCTGCCACGTCATGAAACGGTTTCGATGTCGCGATATCCAATTGTTTACCACCAAAGGAATTGAAGAGCACACAGAACTGGTAGAGCTCTAGTCTCTTCCCCAAATTAATATGGCAGAAGCACACGCTGGGTTGGCAATCAGCGATACTTTGTACGCATGGTAAGCTCTTAATGTTTCATTGCTGTCCAAGTTCTGGTTTCCTGGAAGTGACTGTCGGCCCCTAGCGGTTTCGTGGGTTTCGAGAGGAAAACGCAAGGACGCTTGTTGAGCCTGACTGACCTGAAAACCGAAACGACGAGATGCGACGCCAGTATAACGCCCTGCCCCGGCAATGCACCGACCCTCCTGGTCTTGTCGTTGTGGGGATGCAAGAATCCAAGGCAACTCACCACGAATACGTATGAGATTCAAACGATTGTATGCGTTCCTGCTCAATTCTTCTGATATGTTTTACGCGTGGCTTCCGTTCCATTTCATTCTCGGGTTTGGATATCTCTCGCCCGTTGTCACCCTCTCTCCCTGTCTCTCTCTGTTATTCTTGTTCTTCTTGTTTTTCTCTTCCTTCTTCTTCTGCGGGTCCAACGTGCGACACAAGGTGGCGGCTGTGATAGGGGAGAAATTCACCCTCAACGTCCTGTACGCTGTATTTCCCGTCGACGTCGACGAGGCGACCTTGGCGACTCACTTAAACTCCCTGGTCTCCAAAAACTTCCTCGCCGTAGAGAATCCCTCCGCGATGATGCAAGGCACGCTGTGCTTCAAGTTTAAACACTCTTTGGTACGTCCTATACGAACGGGGACGTTGAACAGGGGAAGGCGACTGGGCAGGGGGGTGGTATAGATTTTCTGTGGTACCTGTCCGTGACTATTGGTGCCGTGGTTGTACGAGCTACAGTTTCCTTGAAATTTTGAAGAAGTCCTGATACAGACAGGCGTGTTTCTCGATAATGATGCTCTGGATACTAATTTGGTTGCGGCATTGAACGACCAAATATCGTGAGGAGCAACGATGGTTTACCATTTAGTTTTGAACCAGTGAGTTCTACCTCCCTCTTCCCCTCCCGTCGACAAAACAAGCTTCCTCTTCTCTACATGCACCCGCCCAGATGTCTGCCGCGGCTTACGGCATGCTCCTACATAGCAACCGCTGGAAGCTGCACTACCGAGTGGCGGTAGTCTTGACGGAGCAGGGCGACCAGTCCTACATGGTCTTGGCGCGCCACTGGGTTCAGGTGTTATGGCATTGTCAATGTTTGCAGTGTATTCCGGGCCCTTTGTTGTGTTCTTCGGTAAACCGAAAGCACCTGGTCTGCTGCATACACACTCGTATACTAGTGGGTTCAACTACATACCACAACGTAACGGCGAACGCCGCCATACGTGGAGTACTTCGAAGAACTTCATAGTTTCGTTTTCAACGTTGAGCTACAATACCCCCTACTCACGCTGCAAAGAGAGCATTGTGTTGGGTTGTCGTCCCATTTGCTCTGGACGTTTTGCTGGGCGCTCCTGCCAGGGTCACAAATAGGCGCAAGGTCACACGGGAAATTTTTCTTCTTTCACTTTGTTTTTTGTGCTTGCCTTAAACCTTATCTCGAGAAGAATGCAACCGGCCGTGAAGTTTAATTTTGGGCACACGCGAGAGAACAGTTTCCCACGTGGTTTGGACATAGTGTTAACAGTTCTTTTGTGTGTGAAAACACATATCTGGTACACAATGACAAAAAGAGCAAAGCCCATTGGCGAGCTGCCGTCCGTAATCTTTGCGACAATCTGAACCGTTCTTCCTTGGCATTTTGGAGCGAGGATATCACCGCCATGTTTCACAACCCGCTGAACCACGACCTTGGTGACTTTGGGGCATGTGGCTCTTGCTGGCGGTTTTTTGTGTGACGACCTTGTTGCCTTTGCGGCCGTACCATCCCTATAAATGCTGGATACGCGATGAAATATATCCTCCCCCCTTGCCATCGGGATTGGGTTTTCGTCGCTTGGCAACGACGTTGTAAAACAAGCCG